GTGAGCAAAAGCATACTTTTCCCCCGCTAATTCCAACATGCCTACTTTTTTCCTCCAGAGCTAAAATAAATCACTGTGGTTTTTTGGCATGGGTAGAAGAAGAAAGAAAAAAATGCTAGACTCTCACTCAGCAAATTAGCTCACACTCTGGGAAGTACTCCAGGCCCCAGACCTCCTGGAGGGACACTGAATTCGCATCCTCCCTAGTCCTCGGTGCCTCTGTGGGGAGCGGGCATTAGTCCTCGGTGCCTCTGTGGGGAGCGGGCATGGCGGGCCAGGACCTGCTGTTTAAGTTGTAGTGTTCTGTTTGCTTCTTTTTCTTGAGCGTATAGAATTGGGTTTGCATCACCTGCAAAGCATCGTAAAGCCCCGTGTTTTTCTTGTTTGTTTTCTGTTTATTTTAAAGAGTAGGTTTCAGCCCTTACTCAGATCTTGTTTGTCCCTACAGAGTGGATAAGACACATGAGCCCCTGCCTGGTGCCTGGCGCTTTGGAGACAACCCATCAATGCTTATCACTCCCCCGCCCCTCATCTTGCAGCCTCGCATTACCTTGATGTGATTCCATTCACAGGGAGGCCGCAGCCTGCGTCTGAAGCGCACCGCGGTCCTTGTCTGAGTTTAGGCAGGTGGATTTCCATCCCTTATGCTCACTGTTCCAGCGCCAAAGTCATCCCCTTCCCTTCTGCTTCTCTGGATCTTAAGATCAAGGAGCCAGGTTCAAACGTGAGCCCCACCAACTCCTGTTACGACGTTGAGCACGTTCTCTAGCCATCGCGTCCAGACATTCTAGGTGCGGATGCTTCTTGCTTTAACTCCCATGCCTTTGGTTCATTCGGCAAATAGCTTTACCTCCATGACAGCAGAGTCACTGAGCGTAACTTAAATAAGTAAAACAACCTAACGAGTGCCTCCAGTTTGCCAGCTAGGGAAACAGTTGGTGAGCAGATAGATGACATCGCTGTTTTCAAGTCTGTTCGAGGGTGAAGAGGAGTATGCAGACGATCATGACGGAGTGTGATCGGCCCTCTGACACGCAAGGGCAGGGGGCACAAGCACTGGGCGCCCGACCCGCATTTAAAGTGTCAGGGAAGAATCCCTAGGGCGTATCTAAGACGCAGCCTGAATTAGCCAGGAAAGGACAGCAGTGTTTTTGCTGAGCGGCACGTGACGAGGACCCAGCAGCGCAGAGAAGACTCCGCCACGTTACAGGGCGCAGGGGTCTCACGCAGCCGGGGTGTGCGGTGCAAGGCGGGAGTGGCGAGAATGAAGGTTAGGGAGGGAGGCGCAGCTCCCACCGTGCAAGCCGGGCAGACCTGTCAAAGAGTCACGTCGGGTTCTCTTCCCAGTGCAGGCGTGGGAGGTGCTGGTGAGAAGTGACGGGAGCCTGGCCGGGATGCTGGGGACAGCGGTGCACAGTGCAAGGTTAAGGAAGGTGTTCCTTTCGCTTTCTTGGTCATTCCGGCTGTTTGAAGGTGGGAGACAGTGTGAATTTCCAGTACTGATGGGAAGGAGCGTGAAACAGAGTGCAGGAGAGGTGAAGACGCGGGAGGAGACCCCCTACGAGGGGCTGCAGCTGGCGGCTGGGTGTAGGCGCGCGGCTTTGTGGAGAGGACTGAGGAAGTGCGTGTGTTGGCGTTCTCAGACGGTGCTGGCTGCTGAGCAGAGGTAGGGGAGCTGCCCGGAGGCTGACTCAGGAGAGGGGCACAGATGAGGTGTCCAGGCTCGGGTGGCAGCGGTGGCAGTGGCACGTCGCAGCTCTGAGGATCTTCAGGAGGGAAGATCGACAGCCTTTGACAATTGTTAGATTAGAGGGGAGGTTCTAGGTGTGAGGAGAGAGGAGGTTCTAGGTGTGAGGAGGAGGAGATTAGGGGGTTGGGATGTGACCAGATGGTGACCCGGGAAATCCAATCAGGAAAACTGGGTAACTCCTGGAGAGCCCAGGGGTCTGAGCTCTGTGGGGAGCACAGTGTGTGCATCCCTGCTCCCGTTGTACGGGCTTTCTCAGTCCAGGTGCAGATGTGTAGAGCAGCCATGAGATTGACCTTGGACTGGAAGTTTCCATGACAAGTGTGATAAAGGCCAGCGTGTAAGAGCTTTGAGGGTATTAGCAAGGTAGTGGGAGATACCACAGCCCAAGGAAGTGAAGACCCGAAGGGCTGTTAGACAAAAAGAAAGAAAACACTGGCGATCCTTTTGATAAGAAGAGGAATAACTAAATGGGAGGGCTAATGATCAGGGATCGGGGTCTCACACGGGGAGGCCCAAATCTAATACTGTAGCGATGAGATAGCTCCTGGTGAGGCAGAGTCAGGGTTTGCGTAGTTTGTGGTTGAAGTGAAGTGGAGAGGAAGTAGGCTCTCTGCAGGGGTGTTGAAGTCGTCCCCGATGACGGCAGGATTGGAGTGCAGAGGTGACGAGAGCGGTGGTCCCAGACGGGGCAGGACCGCCTACCGTGGAACACCATGGACTTTCGTGAGGGCACCTTTTCTTTATGCAAATGGCTGAGGATGCCGGGGATGTACACCTGACATTTCTATGGAACAGAAACCTGTCCTGCATCCCACACGACTTCCCAGTGTCATGCTAGACACTGAGGGACTCATAGGTGACTCACCCGTCCCATCTCAGGGGAAGTATTTCTACGCTGCGCTTGCACATACACTGCACGTTCTTTGTAAAAGTTTTATTTTCTTCTCTTTGATAGCCTTGATGTGTTGTATCCCTGTTTCCTTATTAAGGCTGCTTTTTCCTCTCTTTCCTTATCATATTCCAGTAAGACCCATCTGTGTTTCCACTGAGTTGCTAGACTTTATTCTGATGCTCACCTGTATCCTTGGGCATTCATCTCCTGTTCTTTCTGGTACAGGATGGCTGCTAGTCTTTTTATTACTCTGAAGTCCGGACTTATTTAGAATAAGTAGGTGCAGACATCTGACTTCATTTTCTCCAGTCATGCCCGAGCATTTACATATCGAAATACACATTGTTTTATTGTAAATTACTTTTTGATCCTTCATACATTACAGCTAGGGCGTTATATTAATTTGGAGGGAGAAAGTATATGCGCTAGCAAGTTATATCAGCTGTGAATGCCATTTCAGGATAAAACTGGGATATTACAGAGTATTCTTTTTTTTTTCTTTTTTTGGGGGGGGGGGGGCGTACGCGGGCCTCTCACTGCTGTGGCCTCTCCCGTTGCGGAGCACAGGCTCCGGATGCGCAGGCTCAGCGGCCACGGCTCACGGGCCCAGCCGCTCCGCGGCATGTGGGATCTTCCCAGACCGGGGCACAAACCCGCGTCCCCTGCATCGGCAGGCGGACTCTCAACCACTGTGCCACCAGGGAAGCCCCAGAGTATTCATTTTAGAGAGAGACTTGAGAACCACCGTCTTGGGGCAGAGAGCTGGCCCCCAACAGCAGCGTGTGGGAAGGCGGACGGCGCTGGCGAGTGGCCAGCGGGGGGACAGGTCAGTTTGTGCAGGCGGAGGCCCCTTCGTCTTGCTCCCAGCTCGCCCCCACCCAGACCCCCAGCCGCTCTGCTCTGTCCTCCTGGGTGTTCTCCATTGTCCAGCATAAAACCCCATGCCTTTCAAAGCCTGGAAGAGTAAGTAGGCAAGGGAATGAACCCTTGAATACCTGGGTGCGGTGCTAGTTACTAGACATGGGTTTTCATTATTCCTCCCAAGAAAGGGAGCATGGTTCCTTTTAGGATTAGAATGAAGTCCAGCCAGGGCTCAAGGGCGAGAACGTGTCCAGTGTCTTAGTCCTTTCAGGCCAACACAGCAAAATATCACAGCCCAGGTGGCTTATAGACAACAGACATCGATTTCTCACGGTTCCAGAGGCTGGAAGTCGGAGATCAGGATGCCAGCAGTGGGGGTGAGGGCTCTCTTCTCTCCTTGTGTCCTCACATGGCCAGGCACTAGGGGGCTCTGTGACATCTCTTATTAGAGCACTAAGCCCTTTTATGGGGGCTCCACCCTCGTGACCTCAGAACCCCCCAGAGACCTTTGCTTCTAACAGAATCACGTTGGCGTTAGGGTTCCAACATGTGAATCTGGGGGGGGACACAGACATTCAGACCACAGCATGGGTGTCGCCAGGTGAGGGAGTGTTGAGGATGGGCATGTAACGGAGGGCAGTCTGGCCCTGTGGCTTGCGTTCTGCTCAAGGCGTGACACCGTCACCAAATAGACCTCGATGGCAGGGCTGTGAGAAGCTAGCCGTCTGGGGCTTGTGCCCTTCTAACTCTTGATTTCGGATTCATATCTGAAACCACTCTTCATTTTCTGGCCCGAGTCTGTTCATTTTGTGTGACTCTCCCAACCCAGTTACTTTCTCTGAAGGCGGACTTCACTTATCTTTTAATCTTCACAGAGTTTACTGTATGCCTTGTTCACGACAGGTGTTAGTATGTGCACACTGATTGAAGTACATCAGATCTATGTAAGTTTTCAAAGGCTTAAGGACCAACTGAGAATAAACAGTGTTGCAGAGGAGCTTGACGTTGCACTGATGGTTTTGCAAGTTTAAAATGCATGATTAGGTGTTTGCACCTAAAATAAAATCAAGGTTCAAAGATTTTCTTTTATTAGGATCTAAAAACGTTTAAAATTGTGTAATTCCGTTTTTTTAGGTGCACCTATTTTTTAAGGTCTTCGGGATACCATTACCTGTTAACGTACTCAGATACTCTTGAATATGTTTCATTTGAAACAAAGATTTCTATCTTTTTAATGGAAAGATGGGGATTTAAATTTAAAAAGTAGAAAAGCGAAATTTAAAAAAACAGGAAAAATAAGGAAATAAAAAGTAGAAAAGCAAGCAAATGACTCCTGGTTTTTTCTTACGTACAACTTAACTAGAGATAATCTCTTGACTTGGGATACATGTGAAGTTGGGTACACGTTTTCAGTCTGTCTTACGGATCATGTCATCATAGCAATGTTTATATGGTGTGTTCTGTTCAGGAGTGAATTTCTGTTTTCCTGTTTTTCAGGTCCTGTAGGGGTAGGTTTGAATGAACTGAAACGAAAGCTGCTGATCAGTGACACACAGCACTACGGCGTGACGGTGCCCCGTAAGTTCTGTGCTGTTTGCTGCTACTACTGCTGGCCCAGCACATACACAGCATGTGTGCTGCAAAGCCCTCGTGTCAGCACTCACATGTAGACCTCACCACAGCCCTGGGGAGTAGGAAGTGACAGTGTCCACATTTTACAGAGGAGGAAACTGAGGCACAAGAGTTAAGGGGTTTGCCCCAGATCACTGGCAAGGTGTTTGTTGCTTTCAGCTTCCCTACTTGCATTTTTTATGGTGGATTTTAATACAGGTATGGCATCACATTATTATTTACAAGTTTTCTGCTCAATAGAAGTTTATTCTGTTTCTTCAGTTTCCAGGGTTTTCCATGCGCTTTAAGATTCGAAGGGCCAAACTGCAGAGAGTGGAGGAGGCTTCTTATGAACGTTTCTTAATTACTTTTCATATTGTAGTAATTGACATAGCGTAATTTTTCATGGCCATATAATCCAAATGTGGTAGGCTTCTTATCAGTATACAGAATTAGGTCTGTTTTTATAAAAGTGGTTTTCACAGGCATTCTTACAAGTGAAATGTGATCCTGGAAGCATTTTGATACCCAGAATAAATGCCATTTGACTACTTAACAGGTTGATGTTAGGGAACCATCTAAAAGACTAGATTAAATGTTGGCTTTTTAAGTGGTTTTAGTAATGTTAAAAAAGAGTCATTTGTATAATGCCCTTAGCAATGTTCTCTAGTTTTGGACTAGTTGAACTTTATTTTAAAATTATAGTTTTCGGTTACCTTGTTACGCCTTGTTACTGCATTTTTCCAAGTTATTGTTTGTAATCATTTTCAGCCGTAAGTTATAGGGCTGCTGGTTTCTACCAACAGAGATGAAAGTAGAGGAAACTGGAAATATGGAATTAAACAGTTTCTTAATTATGTATTTCTCTCACAAAAGCTGAATTGCAATATACAAGTCATTAGAACATTTTACAAAACAACTGTTAAGCTTACAGGTGAGCAATTACAGAAGAAACCTAGAAGATGGAAAACAGATTACAAAGGAAAAAAAACAAATTAATTTCCTACTGTGCCTTCATTGCCCTTATTTGTCTTATTTTGCCCTCCCAACAACGGTGTAAGATGGGCAATATCTCCATGTCACAGAGGAGGAAACAGGTGAAAGGATACTTTGATTGACTCAGAGGTTCCATAGGCAATAGCTGCACTTGGATTTGAAGCCAGGTCTCACGTTCTCGCTACCGTATGATGCTGCGCAGCCCTTTGCAACTCCAGATTCTCTTTACTGCAGCCCAATTAGTAGTAAAAACTAATTTCTTTTGAAGAGGATAAAGGTTAATAAGGCTGCCTATCAAATGTAACCCTCCATGATAATTTTGGTATTACTCAGGGCACTTTGGACTCAGTTAATCCAACTGTTAAAATACTGTTTGCGTCTGAAGTTGTTATAGAAGTTAACAACATCCAGAAATGTTCTGGGGCTGAGACTCTCCAAAGAAATCCCTAAAGGAGTAATTTTCCTTTTTAAACAGGTGTTAATGTCAAAAGATCCCCAGAACGCAGTGTTTTCCATACTTGCCTGATAATAAGAGTCTCTTGAGGTTCTTATGAAAAGATTCCAAGGCCTTTCCAAAGAGATTCTCCTTCTGGAGACCTGACAGAATTCCTGAAAATCTGTATTTATAGCACGTATCCCAGGTGATTCACTGTGTCAGTCATGTGTGAGAAATACAGCCATAGCATCCAATGAGGATGATTTAATTAATTAAGAAGATATTTTAAGAGCAGTTTTGGAATTTTAGATTGCCTTGCTTTGTAAAAGACTTTTAGGTAGAGTCGTGATCATCTGGAGAAAAATTATTGCTTTGATTATACCACTGGTATTCTGTTTGATGTTTAAATTCTCTGTTCCAAAAAATGTACCAGATATCCACCAGAAGGGGTAAATGGAAAAGATTTGGAGCAGTGGAACTCTCGCACATTGCTGGGGTGGGGAAGCAGAGTAATTCAGCCACTTTGGAAAACTACGGATCTGTTGAGGCTGAGCAAACCCGATACCCTGTGACCCAGCCGCTCCGCTCCTAGGACACTCCTCCCAGAAATGCATACAATATGTACTCAGATATGCATAGAAACGGTACTCAGAAGAGCTCAAAACTGGAAGCTACCCCAGTGCCCATCAGTAGTAGACTGGATAAGCAAATGGTGGTATATTCACACAGAGGGATGTTGTAATGCAGTGATGGTCTGCTACCGCATGCAAAAGTACACGACTCCCACAAACATTATGCTGAGCGAAAAGAGGTCGACAGACGCAAACGAGAATGTGCTTATGACGCCCTTTTTATAAATGCAGGAAAGGCAGTGCTAATACGTGCTGTTAGAAGCCTTGAGGAGGTGGGTTGGAGGGGGTTCTGCGTCCTGGCAATTTTCTTCTTCGGAGTACTGGTTACACGGGTGTATTTGATGTGTGAAGATTCATCGGGCTTCCATGGGAACTTCTCTGTATATATACTTCAGGTTTTTAAACATAAAAAAGAAACACTTCGTAGTTAAGTTAATTGTTGATTTAGTTAATGTCCTGGTTTTGATATGTACTATAGTTATGGAAGGTGTTACCCTTGGAAGAAGCTGAGTGATGGTTACATGAGGCCTCTATGTGCTATTTTTGCAACTTATTGTGAATCTGTGATTATTTCAATTTTAAAAAAAAACTTTTTGAAGGGATGCTAAATTAGGTAAATGTATACGTATACGTGAATCAGCTATACGTATACATATATCCCCATATCCCCTCCCTCTTGAGCCTCCCTCCCACCCTGCCTATCCCACCCCTCTAGGTGGTCACAAAACACCGAGCTGATCTCCCTGTGCTATGCAGCTGCTTCTCACCAGCTACCTGTTTTACATTTGGTAGTGTATATACGTCCATGCCACTCTATCACTTCACCCCAGCTTACCCTTCCCCCCCCATGTCCTCAAGTCCATTCTCTATGGCTGCGTCTTTATTCCTGTCCTGCCCCTAGGTTCTTCAGAACCTTTTTTTTTTTTTTTTAGATTCCATATATGTGTTAGGATACGGTATTTGTTTTTCTCTTTCTGACTTACTTCACTCTGTATGACAGACTCTAGGTCCATCCACCTCACTACAAATAACTCAATTTCGTTTCTTTTTATGGCTGAGTAATATTCCATTGTATATCTGTGCCACATCTTCTTTATCCATTTATCTGTCGGTGGACACTTAGGTTGCTTCCTAATGTCCTGGCTATTGTAAATAGAGCTGCAGTGAACATTGTAGTACATGTCTCTTTTGGATTCTGTTTACTAGTATTTTGTTGAGGATTTTTGCATCTATGTTCATCAGTGATATTGGCCTGTAGTTTTCTTTCTTTGTGACATCCTTGTCTGGTTTTGGTATCAGGGTGATGGTGGCCTCGTCGAATGAGTTTGGGAGTGTTCCTCCCTCTGCTATATTTTGGAAGAGTTTGAGAAGGATAGGTGTTAGCTCTTCTCTAAATGTTTGATAGAATTCACCTGTGAAGCCAACTGGTCCTGGGCTTTTGTTTTTTGGAAGATTTTAATCACAGTTTCAATTTCAGTGCTTGTGATTGGTCTGTTCATATTTTCTGTTTCTTCCTGATTCAGTCTTGCCAGGTTGTGCATTTCTAAGAATTTGTCCATTTCTTCCAGGTTGTCCATTTTATTGGTATAGAGTTGCTTGTAGTAATCTCTCGTGATCTTTTGCATTTCTGGAGTGTCAGTTGTTACTTCTCCTTTTTCATTTCTAATTCTGTTGATTTGAGTCTTCTCCCTCTTTTTCTTGATGAGTCTGGCTAATCGTTTATCAATTTTGTTTATTTTCTCAAAGAACCCGCTTTTAGTTTTATTGATCTTTGCTATCGTTTCCTTCATTTCTTTTTCATTTATTTCTGATCTGATCTTTATGATTTCTTTCCTTCTGCTAACTTCGGGTTTTTTTGTTCTTCTTTCTCTAATTGCTTTAGGTGCAAGGTTAGGTTGTTTATTTGAGATGTTTCCTGTTTCTTAAGGTAGGATTGTATTGCTATAATATTCCCTCTTAGAACTGCTTTTGCTACATCCCATAGGTTTTGGGTCGTCGTGTTTTCATTGTCATTTGTTTCTAGGTATTTTTTGATTTCCTCTTTGATTTCTTCAGTGATCTCTTGGTTATTAAGTAATGTGTTATTTTGCCTCCATGTGTTTGTATTTCTTACAGATTTTTTCCTTTAATTGATATCTAGTCTCATAGCATTGTGGTCAGAAAAGATACCTGATACAATTTCAATTTTCTTAAATTCACCAGGCTTGATTTGTGACCCAAGATGTGATCTATCCTGGAGAATGTTCCATGAGTACTTGAGAAGAATGTGTATTCTGTTGGTTTTGGATGGAATGTCCTTTAAATATCAGTTAAGCCCATCTTGTTTAATGTATCATTTAAAGCTGTGTTTCCTTATTTATTTTCATTTTGGATGATCCGTCCATTGGTGAAAGTGGGGTGTTAAAAGTCTCATACTATGATTGTGTGACTGTTGATTTCCCCTTTTTTGGCTGTTAGTATTTGCCTTGTGTATTGAGGTGCTCCTATGTTGGGTTCATAAATATTTACAATTGTTATATCTTCTTGGATTGATCCCTTGATCATTACATAGTGTCCTTCTTTGTCTCTTGTAATAGTCTTTGCTTTCAAGTCTATTTTGTCTGATATGATAATTGCTACTCCAGCGTTCTTTTGATTTCTATTTGCATGGAGTATCTTTTTCCATCCCCTCACTTTCAGTCTGTATGTGTCCCTAGGTCTGAAGTGGGTCTCTTGTAGACAGCATATGTATGGGTCTTGTTTTTGTATCCATTCATCCAGTCTGTGTCTTTTGGTTGGAGCATTTAATCCATTTACATTTAAGGTAATTATCGATATGTATGTTCCTCTTCCCATTTTCTTAATTGTTTTGGGTTTATTATTGTAGGTCCTTTTCTTCTCTTGTGTTTCCTGCCTAGAGAAGTTCCTTTAGCATTTGTTGTAAAGCTGGTTTGGTGGTGCTGAATTCTCTTAGCTTTTGCTTGTCTGTAAAGATTTTAATTTCTCTGTCGAATATGAATGAGATCCTTGCTGGGTAGAGTAATCTTGGTTTTAGGTTTTTCTCTTTCATCACTTTCAGCATGTCCTGCCACTCCCTTCTGGCTTGCAGAGTTTCTGCTGAAAGATCAGCTGTTAACCTTATGGGGATTCCCTTATGTGTTACTTGTTGTTTTTCCCTTGCTGCTTTTAATATTTGTTCTTTGTATTTAATTTTTGATAGTTTGCTTAATGTGTGTCTTGGCATGTTTCTCCTTGGATTTATCCTGTATGGGACTCTCTATGCTTCCTGGACTTGATTAACTATTTCCTTTCCCATATTAGGGAAGTTTTCAGCTATAATCTCTTCAAATATTTTCTCAGTCCCTTTCTTTTTCTCTTCTTCTTCTGGGAGCCCTATAATTTGAATGTTGGTGCGTTTAATGTTGTCCCAGAGGTCTCTGAGACTGTCCTCAAATCTTTTCATTCTTTTTTTTTTATTCTGCTCTGCAGTAGTTGTTTCCACTATTTTACCTTCCAGGTCACTTATCTGTTCTTCTTCCTCAGTTATTCTGCTGTTGATCCCTTCTAGGAATTTTTAATTTCATTTATTGTGTTGTTCATCTTTGTTTGTTTGCTGTTTAGTTCTCCTAGTTCCTTGTTAAATGTTTCTTGCATTTTCTCCATCCTATTTCCAAGTTTTTGGATCATCTTTACTATCATTATTCTGAATTCTTTTTCAGGTAGACTGCCTATTTCCTCTTCATTTGTTAGGGCTGGTGGGTTTTTGCCTTGCTCCTTCATCTGCTGTGTATTTCTCTGTCTTCTCATTTTGCTTAACTTACTGTGTTTGGGGTCTTCTTTTCGCAAGTTGCAGGTTCGTAGTTCCCGTTGTTTTTGATGTCTTTCCCTAGTGGCTTAGGTTGGTTCAGTGGGTTGTGTAGGCTTCCTGGTGGGGGGGACTAGTGCCTGTGTTCTGGTGGATAAGGCTGGATCTTGTCTTTCTCGTGGGCAGGTCCACGTCTGGTGTTGTGTTTTGGGGTGTCTGTGGACTTATTATGATTTTAGGCAGCCTCTCTGCTAATGGGTGGGGTTGTGTTCCTATCTTGCTAGTTGTTTGGCATAGGATGTCCAGCACTGTAGCTTGCTGGTCGTTGAGTGAAGCTGGGTGCTGGTGTTGAGATGGAGATCTCTGGGAGATTTTCACCGTTTGATATTATGTGGAGCTGGGAGGTCTCTTGTGGACCAGTGTTCTGAAGCTGGCTCTCCCACCTCAGTGGCACAGCCGTGACGCCTGGCTGGAGCACCAAGAGCCTGTCCTCCACACGGCTCAGAATAAAAGGGAGAAAAAAACGAAAGAAAGAAGATAAAAAATAATAAAGTAAAACAAATAAAGTTATTAAAATAAAAAATAATTATTAAGAAAAAAAATTTCTTAAGTTAAGAAAAAAATGGACAGACATAACCCTAGGACAAATGGTAAAAGCGAAGCTACACAGGCAAACTCTCACACAGAAGCATACACATACACACTCACAAAAAGAGAAAAAGGGAAAAATATATATACATTGTTGCTCTCAAAGTCCACCTCCTCAATTTGGGATGATCCGTTGTGTATTCGGGTATTCCACAGATGCAGGTACATCAAGTTGATTGTGGAGCTTTAATCCGCTGCTCCTGAGGCTGCTGGGAGAGATTTCCCTTTCTCTTCTTTGTTCGCACAGCTCCCGGGGCTCAGCTTTGGATCTGGCCCCGCCTCTACGTGTAGGTCGCCAGAGGGTGTCTGTTTTTCGCTCAGACAGGACGGGGGTTAAAGGAGCATCTGATTTGGGGGCTCTGGCTCACTCAGGCCGGGGGGAGGGAGGGGTGCGGAGTGCGGGGCGAGCCTGCGTCGTCAGAGGCCAGTGTGACGTTGCACCAGCCTGAGGCGTGCTGTGAGTTCTCCTGGGGAAGTTGTCCCTGGATCCCGGGACCCTGGCAGTGGCGGGCTGCACAGGCTCCCTGGAAGGGAGATGTGGAGAGTGACCTGTGCTCGCACACAGGCTTGTTGGTAGTGGCAGCAGCAGCCTTAGCGTCTCACGCCCGTCTCTGGGGCTCGCGCCGGTCCCTGGAGCTCCTTTAAGCAGCGCTGTGAATCCCCTCTCCTCGAGCACCGGGAAACAAAGAGGGAAGAAAAAGTCTCTTGCCTCTTCGGCAGCTCCACACTTTTCCCGGACTCCCTCCCGGCTAGCCGTGGCACACTAACCCCCTCAGGCTGTGTTCACGCCGCCAACCCCAGTCCTCTCCCTGTGCTCCGACCGAAGCCCGAGCCTGAGCTCACAGCCCCGCCCGCCCCGGCAGGTGAGCAGACAAGCCTCTCGGGCTGGTGAGTGCTGGTCGGCCCTGATCCTCTGTGCGGGAATCTCTCCGCTTTGCCCTCCGCACCCCTGTGGCTGTGCTCTCCTCCGTGGCCCCGAAGCTCCCCCCTCCTCCACCCGCCGCCTCCGCCCGTGAAGGGGCTTCTAGTGTGTGGAAACCTTTCCTCCTTCACGGCTCCCTCCCACTGGTGCGGGTCCCGTACCTATTCTTTGTCTCTGTTTATTCTTTTTTCTTTTGCCCTACCCAGGTACGTGGGGAGTTTCTTGCCTTTTGGGAGGTCTGAGGTCTTCTGCCAGCGTTCAGTAGGTGTTCTGTAGGAGTTGTTCCCCGTGTAGATGTATTTCTGGTGTATCTGTGGGGAGGAAGGTGATCTCCGCGTCTTACTCTTCCACCATCTTGAAGCTCCTCCCTTTCTCGGTTCTTTTCTGTTGAATAATGGAACACTGCATCCCGATATTACGAATGCAACGTTCTATTGACCCCAGGTCCTGTTATAATATTCTGGAGAAAGGTGATGTTTTATTTTAGCTATAACCGACTAGTTTATGTTTAGACTGTAAGTTTTACGTCATTTTCTGTAAGTTATGGTTTAAATCTCACTTCAATTCTCTAAACTTCTGCTGTGTTGGTTTGGGTCTGCCCTGTTATGTGTAGTTCAGGGATTAGTTTGCAACATGTGTGCATAGTGCAGATCTCAGCTCCGTTCTCTAAGCCTTCTCTCCATTGGTTTGGGTGTGTTCTGGACTTCCACTACTCACGGATTAGGCTGAGACTTGTGTATTCTAATCTTAATTCACTTCTTACAAGTTCGTTATGCGGGTTTGAGTCTGTGCTGCATGTGTACGGCTTAGGGGTTATTCTTAGGCCAGTGCTGGTTTGTGCACGGAATTAGAGCATTTCCTTCTCTAGCTCTGTCCCTTCCTGGGTTCCTTGCACACTCTTCAGCTCACAGGGGCGTTATTTTTTCTGGTCCTTTTCCCCAGGAAGTCAGGCCTTCTGTTGGAATTTAGACACACATTCCTCCATGCTGCTCTGTGAACGAGCCCACCCCTAGGGCAAAGCTAAAAGCAAATAAAAGTTAAACCCTTCCCCAGGGCGGTTGACTCTCTTCCACAGTCTACCTGCTTTTTTTATTTTCAAAGTGCTCAAAACAAAAATAGATGTTTTGGGTCCAGAGGTTTTAGTTGTAATCAGCAGGAAGGATGGACTGTAGTCAGTTTTTCACGTGCCATATCAGCCTGCAGTTCCTTAGGGTTTTGTTTTCGTTTTTAGAGTTATTTTCTGCTCCATTATAATTCAGTAGCAAATAATTAGGCAGAATTGCTGAAAGTTTAGAAGTTCACTTGTATTTCAAGAAGGTGTTTATGATTTTTCAAAGGAGAAATGAATAGCACATAGAAGTCTTTGACTTTGCTTGGGAAATTAAGCTTTGATGGCATACACCATGTGCCCTGTGCAGAAAATAGTAAAATAATTTTAAGAGTTTTTACCTTTCAACCTAGTGGGCGGTAGACTTGCTTACAATGAACAAAGAATCAATATGACAATAATAAGTATATTATTTGCCAAAGAAAGCAGTTTTTCCTCAAGGGTTGAAATACCATTTTTGTTTAATTAACATATTAAAGCCCCTTCAGAATAATTAATAGCATAAACATAATGCAACTTAATTTTGAATCCATCTTCAAGTCAATATAACTTTAATATCAGTGGAAAAACTGAATTAATGGGATTCCTATATTTTATTAGCTAATTTGCTTTTTAAGTTTTAAAATCTTATTTAAGAAAAGTCCTTTAATCAAATATATGATAATTTCTTTTTTAGTATTTTACTTAGGGTGGCTGGTGCAGACTTTTCTGAACTCTTTTTAATTAAATCACAGACACCACCAGACCAAGAAGAAGCCAGGAGAGTGATGGTGTTGAATATGTCTTCATTTCCAAGCACTTGTTTGAGACCGATGTACAAAATAACAAGTATGTGGACTTCTTTTAGAATCTTTGTAGAACTATTGTTTTTAAACATGTACCCATATGTCTAGTTGTAGACAACTGAGGGTTCCCTTCCGTTTGAAATGAATTTTCATTTTTATAATATTTGAAACTGATAAAAAGATAATTCAGTTGGTGGTTATTACCCATCTTTGCCTGCAATCTTTTAATAACCTAGAGCTGTTGTGTATCTGGTAAATTGAATGTGTCGGGATTATTTTGCTAGTGTATTATCGTGAGATCGTCCTACCCCTGTAATTGGATCTTAACGTAGAATTTAGATAGAACTTTATTTTAGTAACTAGTAACTGTGTAATAGATCCCTAGTTCCAGTCTTTTCCACATACCTCCCTCCCTCTCATTGGCTCTTCAAAATAATGTTAATCATCTTGCTTGTACCATATCCTCTAGCAAGCGCTAAGTCTCCCAGCCCCTGGTTTTCCATTTGCTGAAGCATGGATATTTTAGGGTATCAGGGAGCAATGTGTGCTCTAATGTGGGATTGTGGGACTTTATTGAAACATCGAAATGCTTTTTCCGTGTTTGGCACAGCGATTGAGTTTTTATAGCACGTTCTCAGCTGTCCTGCTCGCGTTAGCCACCAGCCAGTCCTCCTCGAGTTCTAAAGCTGAGCTTGGTTGTTCTTTCGTGTGCAGTGAAATTTCAGTAGTTTTTATTGTTTGGCTTATTCACTGTTTTATTGCATTGCATTAGTTCTGAAAAAGAGGTGATGGAAAACATTAGAGTCCTGCTGGACTAAAGTACTTTTTTTCTGCTTAAGTGTAATACAAGCAAGTGTTACTGATTTGAAAAAATGAAATAGAAGATTTTTTTTAAATTGACATTCTGGAGTACTTGGACCTAGTTATTTTATTAAAAGCAGTTTAAAAAATTACATGTTCAGCAAAAACATCTTTTATATATGAATTATGTCTGCCATATATAATTCACAAATGATTCTAATTTCTACAGGTTTATTGAATATGGTGAATATAAAAACAACTATTACGGCACAAGTATAGACTCAGTTCGGTCTGTCCTAGCTAAAAACAAAGTTTGTTTGTTGGACGTTCAGCCTCATGTAAGTGAACAGTGACCTATTCAACACCCTTCAAGCCCATGTAATCTACCACATTTGAGCATTTCAGTATGGGGTAAATCTGAAATCTACTCACTTTTGGCATATAGGTGGCTTTCCTAAGGTGACAAAAGCATTTAAATGTCAGTTGAGAAGTTTCTGCTGAAAAGAAGCCCATGTTGTTATTAGGAAACAGGGGTCGGGGAAGCCTCGACATTTGTGTTTGTAACTCTTATTTGGATTCAGTGTTTGCCAAGTGTAATGTCTCTTAGATATTTCTTCCATGTATTTTGTATTTAAAAATATGTTGCATTATATGTATAATGTATTTCATGTATGCATTGTTATAAGTGTTCATCATTTTTGACAATGGACATTTTGGTTCTCAGTCCTCTTTCGTTGATTTTGGTTCTGTAAATATTCTAGAAGTGTAAACTGCCCGGCGAGAGCCGCAGGCATCTCACAGGAGCTGTACCAGGAACAAGTCGCCAGGTAGAGCTCGCCTGGCACCCTGGGAACTCATGTCATGTGGACTGAGTGCCAGTGGGTGAAGCAGTGCACTTCCCTGTCTCACCACAGACCCCCCCAGCTGAGACGCAGCCCACAGCATTCTCCTCGTTACCCAGAGGCAGTGCTGCAAGCTTCGTGAAAAGCAGGGGGCTTGCCCTTTGTAGGGGACTCTGAAGGGCAGAATGAAAGAGGAGGGAGACCTCAACCTGAGATCAGGAAGAGACGTAAACAGGATGGTTGGAAGACTTTCATGTAAAGAAAGTTAACTCATAGCATCTTTTGGGTATTAGATCTAAAAACTAGTTTTCTGATATTTTTAGCTGCTTCTCTTCAGTATTAATTATGGCATATTTCAAAGCATTTTTAAAGACAAGTTACATTCTCCATCTTTTGAGAGGTGTCTGTTACATTTAATTGTCAACAGCTGATTGAACAACAATATATTGAAAGCCCTGCTAACCTTAATTAGGAAATAATTTTAAGGAATTTTCTCCTTAGAAAGGAAATTCAGTTTTGTTATAAAACTCATGACATTATGAAGAAATGTAAGAAAACTTATTTTCTTCATTGCAGACAGTGAAGCACTTAAGGACACTAGAATTTAAGCCCTATGTGATATTTATAAAGCCTCCGTCAATAGAGCGTTTGAGGGAGACAAGAAAAAATGCAAAGATTATTTCAAGCAGAGATGAGCAAGGTGCTGCAAAGCCCTTTACGGTGAGTATGAGGATGCTTTACTGAAAATACACAAGCAGGACTTAAAATCATGTGCAGTAGTGACTCTGCATTAGGGAGACTGCAGTAGATGAAGGAGATCCAAACACCCACGCGAGACAGAGCTGTATTTAGGCGCTCGCATTCAGCGGTTGCACTGGAACTGCTTTCTCGGCTTCTGTGAATGACCTTCATATTACACTGACTCTGAGCTATTTTGTATGCTATTATGTACACTTATCAAATTTTTGAAGGCACATGTAAAAAGTTAGACCACTGAGTTTTCAACTAGCCTTATTTTTAAAGGGAAAAATACCAAAGTCAGGTACTATTACTCATTAATAGTCTAGATGAAAATTTAATAATTTGCCTTGTCTGTTTGTATCAACATCATATTTAGCATAGTGAAAGAAAAAGCATCATTTCGGGTGTAGGACAAGTAGACTTGTATTATTCAATCTGTATTTGTATTCCCTTTGACTGTTATTAGAAATGGCAGCTGTGGTTTGTTAATGACTAGAATGACTCTGGCAGGGCCTTTCATTGTTTTTTGTTTTTAACCATAAGACGATGTAGTCTACTTTAGGCTTAAAAATAAAAAGCAGAGAAATTTAATGGCAGAAGGTTTTTTCCCCTCCCTCTCTTAATTAACTCATCTTTAACTTTAGTCTGTATTAATTTGTAAACTATTAATTGTGGGTACCAAGTACAGATAATGTTTTTGATTCCCAGTATTTTAAAAATATCTTTTTTCTAAAGTACTGACAATACACAACCATACTGAACAGGTACTGTTATATGAGGTTAAATTACTCAGGGCTCTGGATTAACACTAAAATTAAAATTTCTGTTGTGAAAATCTTCTATGACATTGAAATGTAGACTCTGAAAAGACTCCAAGAAGTCACAGTATAAAGAGTTATTGTACTATTTATTATAGTATTGTACTATGTGAAGATTTCTCAATGAAGATAATAAATGATAACATAAGATTTAACTCACGTTTATGTATATAGTCTTGTTTTATAATCAACTAAAATTCTTACTGGTTTCAAAAATGTGAGTATGAAGGGCCCCTGACCCACTTCCTACTTCTACTGAGACGTAGAAGGACATAATATAAGTGTCCTTTCATAAATGTATCCAACTCTGAAAAGTAGTTTGTTATACATTCCTTGCTATGAATAAATGTGAACAAGGCAGGCAAAGCCTAAGGGTAAACAATTCTCCTTTAATACTGAAATATCCCTGTAATGATAAGCGAGTGACTAATTATCCTGAAATTTAGGTAAGGCAGGAGTTTTGACTCTTGTCAGGGCAGTTTAGTTACAAGCAAATAGAGAGAGAGGGTATTAGAAATTATGGCTTCTGAAGAATTTATAGTTAAAGAGGATACTTTTCTTTTGTGGCTGAGGTGAAATAGTGAACACAGAACAACATTAGATAAACCAGTTGTGCAATATTTGCATTGACGTGACGTGGTAAAATTGCCTGGTTAACCGGTTTTTTAAAATACTTCTTTTTGTAGGAGGAAGACTTTAAAGAAATGATTAAATCTGCCCAGATAATGGAAAGTCAATATGGTCATCTTTTTGACAAAACTATAGTAAATGATGATCTCACCATGGCCTTCAGTGAGCTTAAAACAACTTTTGACAGACTGGAGACAGATACCCACTGGGTTCCAGTGAGCTGGTTGCATTCGTAACTAAGGGAAATGTCCATAATTATCTTTTCTGTAGAGTGCATGATTAAATCAGTTACCATTTTGGTGGTAGGGTTTTTTAATCTATATCACTGTTAAGATGTGCAATCTTGGTTAAAATTGATGTGTTGGTTTTGTTTGTATCTTTTTACAGCCTTATTTCAGGCACAGTGTTTGAGTTTAAGGTCCAAAGTCAAAATCTGCACAGTACCGTATTCTGGTTGTCTTGACTGTGCAGCTCTATCTCCAAAATGGGGTTGAACTTTTTAGAGAGACACAGCTGGAGAATGTACACGGGAGTTCAGTGCTTCAGCTGGTCTCCGACGTCATCACTGCCTTGGAGTTTGCATGTCAGCCGCTGAATACGTTCAGTTCACAGTCTTCAGGAGCCAGACATCATCATAGAGGCGCCTGGGCTGGCAGTAAGGCCGAGTCCTCTTACTGTTCTGCAAGTGCAAACTTTTTCTTCCATAGACACAACATATTCACAGTTACAGTTTGAGAAGGCCTTATGAGTGCATATATCAGTGACTCAACAAATGTTTAATAAGGGAAGATGGGCTTTTAAAAATTACTATTTATGAAACTAAAAACCTTTCTTTATGGCTTAAGAATGGTGATATCCTGGGGCAAGTAAGATTACAAAGGACATTTTTATTTGTAAATCCTCAGACAACATTTCTGGACTCACCAGAAATTCTGGAGCCAGTTATCTGGCTTTGGGTTTTCCCAATAAATTATAAGAATGATTCCTATTCTAAAAGTAGGTTTTACTTGTTACTGCTACAGTTAAAGAAAATGTGATCATTTTTCAAATGTGTGCAATTGATCACAATATATTTAAATTGCACTATAAGATATGTTTTAGAAAACTTTTCATGTAATGTTATTTCTTCGTCATCAAAATAGTTAACACTGGGCAGATACCATCCTAGTCTTGCCATTTTTAAAGAAGTTTAAGAAAGACTCTTTTGTTGTAAATATTTAGATGGGATCTCTCATTTTTCTTGGATGCTACTCATCTTCAGTGAGTAAATTATATAGCTCAAAATACCAGAAATGTCCATAGTTGTGTAAGAGAACATGTCCTCCCATTCTTGCATGCCGTAAGACCCTGTCAATCAGAAATCATTGCATCTGTGACTTTCAAGCAGAAAAAACGATATTTTTTGTTGATTTGTAAAGAGAGTTTAGATGTCCCGTTTAAGGAAAAAGAGTGTAGTGAAATTTTATATATTTATGAAATATTTGAAAGGCATATTTTTTTAATTATCAAATGAGGCTATTCATTAAATAAATAGTATGTAAAGACATCATAATTTAAGATAGTAGTTTTATAAGTCAGGGTCAACATTCCATGTAAATATTTGACCTTTATTCATATGCAGATCCACAAGTGTGTTCTGTGTGCACATTTGATAGCATCACTCACTGAGTTTCCTTCAGACGTGTCAAATTTCATCCCTTGATACACACTCACAGCTAAATAGTTAGATAACCAGACATTGTTACTTGACAGCATAATCCAAACAGCAAGGCCTAAGTTAATTAACTAAATAGCAAGCAATTTAGTTTAAAAAGGGGTTGGTGGGTTGCCAGATCTAATATTGAAGCCATACTTTATAGTTGTGTGGCTGGTCTAAGAAAGTACAAATCTTCCTTAGGTGGTTTGGGTAGAATATTCTCTTTGAACATTGACTGAAATTTCCGAAAAGTCAGGACTTCCTAGGAAATGAATTATAATTTAGGCAGTCCAAATTCTTTGTTCAGAAATAGTACCTGGTTTGCTTTTTTTCATTTACAGACAATTGCCTCAATTCTTTCCTGCGGAGGTGGAGATAGTGTAACGTGGTAGAAACGGAGTCCTTTTTGGTGGTGGTGGTGGAGGTGTTATAGAACTATATTTGTCCAGCCTTTCTCCCTTTTTACACGAGACCTGGGCAGTATTTTTTTAAATAATGAAAAGAGGTACTTCAGCAATTTGAAAAATCTTTTATCAGGTAATATACATACGTGGTCTTGCAAGTGACGTTTACATGGCCACCTTGATGCTTAGAAAGAGATTCAGTTAAAATTTAATGCGGCAGGGCCAACTCCATGGCCTCTGATTAATGTTGCAAAGGGCCCTTGATTCTGTGCTTTATGCATCCTCAGCTCCCTCTCTAGCAAGGACAGACTAGTTCTTTAGGCAGCTTGCTTCTGAGACAGTGTCAGCCACTATTTGAGAGAACAGGAATATTGGGTTTTTTAAGTCCATGTATTTAAAATCCAAGATCAAGAAGATAATTCTATACTCCCATTATTAACATACTGGAATCTTTTTTTTTACCATTATTTTACTTACCAATATAGACATTATCGATATCTTTAAGGCTGACCTTCCTGGCATTGTGTAATGATTGAATGTATCTAAATTGTAATAATTTAAAATTGACAAACATGTAAAACGAAATTATGTTAAAAGTTTCCTGAAAATACAGAGTTTTATTATTTATTTTCTTTTTGACTAGTAAGAGTTTATAAATAAAAGTCATGGAAAACCTTTGAGCTTAATAAAGTATCTTCAAATTATGTGTGTACTCTCTTGAAGATGGCTCTTGCACTTGGTATCTACTTCACTGTTTCCAATGGTGGAAAAACTTGTTTTCTTTAATGACACCAAGTGATATATTGGAACTGGCTCTGTCTAAAATTAAATTTCATATTTGTTTCAAACATTAATTGGTTTCATCCAGGTTATTGGAGAGGTGGACTTCACTAGCCTTGCTCTTACCCACACGGTCCAGCCACTTAAAGCTGTGGAGCAAAGAATGGAATGGTTGGTCCCAGCCCATCCGTGATGGGGACACCCCGCCCCGCCTCTTTCCGTCAGGCATTGAGCGGCACCCACATCCTCTGCCCCTGTTCCAGGTAGGCGAAGTAGACTTTTCCAGCTCTGCATGTGAGGACAGACTGCCATCTGCTTATACAGACAGGCTAAGTGGCACTGGCCTTGCTTAAGCAGCTGAACGAATTAGCCCAGCTCTGCTTCCACTGAGAGGCTGTAGGATGTAGCAGTTAGGGGCGTGGGGTCTGGAGCTGGATTGTTGAGTTCAGATGCTGCCTATTACGAGTTTTATAACCTCGTTTAATCTCACTGTCGTTTTCTCACCAGAAAATAATGGAGATAGTAAGAGTGCTTACCTCATAGGATTGTTGTGGGCATGAAATGAAAGAATTGATCCGTGTAATGTGCTTGGAACAAAGCCTGGGCTAGAAGTGCTCGCTGATGGTAAGCTCGCTTCACAACGGTCACTCTCACATCACACAGTTTAAAAGTAGCTGCGTAAATATTCTTAATTACTCCACACAAACAGTTCTCCTATTAGTAAATTCACAGGAAGCTTCCTAAATAATTTCTATGACCAGCTTTATTGTTTTATAAAAATACCATTGCGTCCAAATGATGCATCCAGAATTCACTGGCTGATTCTCAACAGGAAAGTGAACCAATTTGTATTTGCAACCACTAGTATGGAATATAGCTGATACCAGCTGAAATAAATGTCCCTCAATTGTATCCCAGCCCTTTCTTCTGCTACCGCACTTCCTTTCCAAATGCGTGCTCACTTACACTTCAGCTTCTGGGGGGCAGGGAATACTTTTACTTTTATAACAGCTGTCTTATTCACATACACCTACCTGGGCCCCCTCACTGCCAGACCAAATGTCCTTACTAACGTCAGACATCTGTATGATTTGTCTGCGATTTCATTTAATCCTTACAGCTGCCCTGTATGGGAGTGGTAGCTTCATATTTTACAGTTGAGAAAACCAAGGTGCTGGCTTCCGTACCTGGCCCAAGGTAACAGGTGACGAGTAAGGAATCGGGGCTTGAACAGTGGTCAGGCTTCCTCCAATCCCACACTATTTCACTGCATTGTGTTTCCTGGTGGTGCTAGAACTTGAGCCAGTTCTGGAAACAGGTGAGATTTGGTCATTAGGGGAGTGATTGTTCATCCTTTTGATGCACAGCAGTTTACAAAGAGTTTTCTCAGAGCACTGTTGCTTTAGTCAGATATAACTTGATTTATCTATGCCTGTATAGTGGGCTGATCTTCAAACAGTGGCTGTTATCAAAAACATACAAAAAACTTAGCATAATATGCAATATTTCTATTTTGTCTGTTTGAGTACCATTCCTTAGTGGTGAATCGTGATTGGTCTAATCAATCATATAATCCCCTCTTTGCAAGGATGGACCTGAGTTGGTCATGCCACCCACTTCGAGGTAATGTCTGTCGTAGGAGCTATGAGTAAGAGCTGTTTCCCTGATTTAAACAACTGCATGAGGTGAAAACCTTTTATGCTCCTGCGCCCATGCTTCCTGTTTGAGATGCTTGTTATGTTGAGGTGCTTGCAAAGATGACAGCCATAACCCTAACCCTAAACCAATGGATGACTAAGGCCAATCTATAGATGAATGAGTAGAAAAAGGAAAAGATCCTAAATCCATAACATCACTGAGCTGCTGAAAAAAATCCTGGGACCTCCTTCCTCTAATTACTGAAAAAACAATGTTCTTTTACGCTCTGTTGGTGAGAATGTAAATTGGGGCAGCAGCTATGGAAAACAGTATGGCAGTTCCTAAACAAAACTAAAAATAGAACCACCATATGACCCAGCAATTCTACTTCTGGGTACATATCTGAAGAAAATGAAATCACTATTTTGAAAAGAGATCTGCACTCCCACGTTCCACGTTCACTGCAGCATTATTCACAACAGCTGAGACAAGGAAACAGCAAGTGTCCCTCAACAGATGAATGAAGAATGGGAGGATGCACACACACACACACACACACACACACACACATACACGAAGATTATTCAACAGTTAAAAATAAGGAAATTCTGCCTTTTGTGACAACATGGGTGTATCTTGAGGGCATTATTCTAACTAAAATAAGTCAGAGAAAGACGAATAACTATATGTTATCACTTATATATGGCATCTACAAAAGCTGAACTAGAAATAGAAAATAGAATGGTAGTTACCAGGAGTTGGAGGGAAAAGGGGGAGGTTGGTCAAAAGGTACAAGCTTCCAGTTATGAGATGAATAAGTTCTGGGGATGTGATGTACAACATGGTGACTTTAGTTAACAACACTGTGTAACATGCTTGAAAGTAGCTAAAAGAGTTATCAACAGACACACACACAAGGTAATTATGTGAGGTGATAGAAGTGTTAAATAACCTTGTTGTGGTAATCATTTCATCATATATACATGCATCAAATCATCACACTGTACACCTTAAACTTACACAATGTTAATTATATCAGTAAAACTGGAAAAGATGTTCTATTAAAAAGTGTTAATATTTGGCTGTTGTTTACTTGCTGCTGGAAGCATTCCTAATGGAAAACAGTATGCATGACAACCTAGGCCACTCCCAGTATCTACGTTCACTTTCCAAAGGTGTCACTTGCCCTGCAATGATGCACTGAGCTTTAAAACATTCTGGAACTTGTAGCGAAAACTAAAGCAAGAGATCCCATTTAAATTTTATTTTTCTTGGGTTCCACGTTTTTTTCCTCCACAGTATGGATAAAATTTAAGTTTGGGGAAAGTTGTTCATATGTTTTTGGGTTTCCAAATTTATCATGGTTGTGAGTCTACCATTTTGGACAAAGTAATACCTCTTTAACTGTTTAATCTGACCTGGGCATTAGTAATACCTAAAGGCTCAATTCACTGGGCTCCTGCTCTGTGCCTTGGCACTCTGCTAGTTAGTAGTAGGTGAGCTGTTTGTCATCACTGACTCCACTTAAACAGAGAAAAGACCTAAGTAGCAATATGTTTACATAACAGTGGCTACAAAATGTAATTACTGTACATGTCAATGAAGAGCTATATAACATAAAGTAATAACTTAGGGAAATACATTGCTCTTAGGAATCTAGAAGATACCAAAACAACTGAGGATGAAAGAAAGAAGGAAGAAATATAAACGTGCTTAAATATTAGTTAAATTTTTAAAAAGTATTTGAAGGCAATCATCTGTGGAATTGAAAGTAAATACAAAGAGGAATCAGAAAGAGACTCCATTAAATGAGATGACAGAAACAAGGCCAAATGGGTCTCTTATTACAGATCTAAATGCCGTGAACTCATGTATTGAGACCATTTTTCAACTACATCAAAAATGGACATCAACCATATTCTTCAAGGAGAGAAAGATTTAAAGTAAGAGGATTGACAAAAATAAGCCAGGCAGATGCAGACAAAAAGAAAGCAAAATAAATAAATAAAATAAGAAAACAGAAGGCACAATAATAATATTAAAATTGAGTTCAATGTTTATCAGTTGGGTCAAAAAGTCATTCTTTAGTAATCAGTGGTATAAGTCACAAAAGGAGGAACATCGAAGACACAGGGTAAAACCTTGAGAAGTGCAGTCAATAAAACCATCTTATTTGATAATCTTTAAAATACTTCTCTCTATTAGACCTTGAAGAAAATTGTTATAGAAGGTCCATATATCACAATTCCTCAGCCAATCTCATAGCCATGGAAAGAATGCTTTTTCCTGCAAACTGAAATTATACCTTCTATTCAAGAGCTACACTGAGCATTTATAAAACCCAGTCCTCAAGTAAGCTACAAGAAAAACCTCATTAAATTCCAAAATATTTAAATACTTCACATTACATCTAGTGACCACAGTCCAATAGAGCTAAAAATGAATAACAAGTAAACACCAAAAAAAGACCTCTTAGAAAAACTCAAAATTTTAAAAAGTATTCTGATCATGGACTAACTAAAAATAAAATTGTAGATTATTCAGAAAATAGCAATGTAACTATCAGAATCTGTGGACTAGGACTAAAAAACTGAGCTCAGGAAAACTTGTTGCCTTAAAAGCTTTTCAAAGGAAAGAAAAATAAAAATAAACACGGGCTCAAGCAGCTCGGGAAAGAATAACACGAGTGGTATTTTGGCTAGGTTGTAATATACACTGACTTTTCCAGGAATGCGCTACCATGTAAATCAAAGGAAGATAGTATTTCATTTTTTCAGAAGTTTACCAAGAGTTTTTCACTATTTTGGAACATCATGTCACTAATGGAAATACCACTCATGCTGTCAGTCTCCAACATTGCATGTCAGGACACACCCATGCCACGATGTGTGAACCTACCCCATGCACGTGATCACTGCTGTCTTTGGGGAACTGCTGCTTGAGCATTTACATCTCACAATTTGAGCTATTTTACTTTCCGTTCCTCTCCTTTTCCTTCTCCCTTATATTACACTGGGGTTCCATTACTTTATTTTTTATTATTTTATTTTGCTGCACCGCGCGGCATGCAGGATCTTAGTTCCCCAACCAGGGATCGAACCCGTGCCCCCTGCAGTGGAAGCGTGGATTCTCAACCACTGGACTGCCAGGGAAGTCCCTGGGGTTTCTTTTTAACTGTGCAGACTACACTATATCTGTGGATTTCATTTCAAGATAGCAGAAGGGACATCACAAAAATCTCTCTTATAGGAAGAGACCACTGAGTATGATAGGAGTGATTATTGCT